CCTCCTCGAATAAGATGACTGCTGTGATTTTGCGTAATACGTCTTTTCTGAGGGACACGTCTAGTTCTGACGAATGTGCCTGTACTTGAAATGGACCAGTCAACGATAGACTCTTTGATAAAGGAGTTCCTACATATTTAGGCGATGAAAAATCGTATGTTCAATGAAAACTCCTCTGTTGTAACGAGCGAAAGCTGGGATGCTATAATTAACTTAAAAAGATTTGATACGGGGTAAAGCGTGGATGAGATTAAACCTGAAATCCAAGGTTACCAATATCATAGTTAATATGTGGTGTTAATCTACAATTCACTTTAACTTGATGCAACTTTCTATGTAAGGCGGTATGCTGCCTGCCATATCAGTTGTGCCCTGAGACGCCATGGTGTAGCCAAATACGATGTCAATACACCGTTAACACTTGTGTGGTTTGATGCCATTAACCACGTATCGGCGATCGTTTGAAATTTCAGCAACGGACCCTGAATTGGAAATATTGCGTAATGTTTATTACCAAAAAACACAAACACTGAAAACAGTTTGTTTATACACAAAGCAAACGAATAAGTTGGTCAGTCAGCCAATTAACCAACATGTTCGTTTGCGTTGTGTACAGATAAACCGTTTTTATGCATTTTTCAGTTTTCAGGATGAACACCAACACAAATTATTCAATTTTCAAATACCCCGTGTTTTGTCAAGTCAAGATCATCAACTTTCAGCAATACAAACAAAAATACGAAACGACGGTGCTTACTTTAAAAGTGCTGAACGCGTCAGATGCAACATCGAAAGTCGACATTTCGACGTAGGAGAAAAATCGGTACACCTCATCCGAATTCAACATGATTCTGGCTAAGGGTTCGTGCCGAATGCTTTCTCGCAGCATACTGCCACAATTTAGGGCGATTTCCTGAATTTCGTACCTCAAAGGAAACCGCAGTGCGGCACATTAACGAACAGTGTACGTTTTTACCCTTTAATAAGCGTGATCAGTATGTCCGGCCTCGTACATAGGTATTCCACGGTCGGAGATCGCGTGCCAATTTGTCGGCGAAGAAGGTTGTTGAATATCAGAGCGACATCTTTTTTTGACTAAAAACGTTCGTGAAAAATCGAGAATTTTTGAGTGCTAATGCTGTGTAATTGCAGCACCACGTTAGCACTGTTATACGACGCAGCGATTATTCAAAAAGATACACAACAGCACAATGAAATCGACACATAAGTGCCTATTGCAAAACTTCTAAACTTAAGGAACGACTCTTCACTTCTAGTTGCCTGTACTCCCGGGAAAATTTCTCATTGGAGATGGCCCACTTCGCTC